TTTCTATTGTGTTAAAAAAATTAATTCCTTGAAAGCTTTTATGAGAACAATAGTCCTTCATGGAAAAAGCAAGATAATAGCAATCCAATTTTACAAGTAGCATCCATTACAAAAGATATCCTCGAAATCAAAGGGCTCGTTAAACATGCATGGAAAACCTCTGGCCATTACCCGGGGGCAGAGAACAATTAATAGAGGGGTACACAACTTGCCCTGTACACGTGCCACACCTTTTGGGGTATTCAGGTCGAGGCATATTTTGAAACAAGCTGATGCCCTGAAATTGGCGTTGAATCTTGCCCTAAAGCAAGTGGGAAAAAATGATAAAGAAACAGAGACTACTGCGTTTCTAGTAGGGGTCGATTGCCCTTTTCTATTCTTTCCTTTTCTCTTGTGAATAAAAAAAAAGGGGGGGGGGGCATTACATATTAGCGATATACAATACGAGGTGAGTGTGCATATTTTTTCTTTAAATGTCGGAGAAACAGATTTTCCGGGGAAAAGACTTAGCCACAAAGTACTGGTTGTTTTTTGTTTTTTTAAAAAATAATACGATAAGACTGGAGCCTACACTCATTGTGGCAACTGCTTGTTGTCGAATCTTGTTTTTGGTTTTCTTCCTTCTTAATAAAAATTCAATAAAACGATCTTCGATTGAGCCGGAGAAATCAACATGCTGTGAACATATTGTTTTCGTTTGCCTTGTTTTGGTCCCAGGTTGTAAAGTTACAAGGCGAAGGGTGAATTAATAGGCAGTTCGAAGGCGTGATGACCAGTGGCCAGGCTAGTAGAGTGCAGTCATTGACTGTGTATGGCTGAGAACAAAGAGAACAGTCATGTTACGCCAATAAAAACACGAGCGAGCAGGTGCTAATTTTATTCATAGGTGTTTAATGTTCTGAGAGAACTGTGGGTAACGATACCAGCATTTGCTTGCTCGGGCTGTTATTTTTTTTCCTCCTCTTTTTTTAACAGTGTGACATAGGCATGGCCAAATTATGGACCGCGGGTTGATCCAAGAATCGATAATGAATGTTGATGTTTAATCAACACCAAACTGCCAGTCTTTATTAATTAATATGAATAGTTATCGGCCCGGTCAGAAGCAATTAATAGATCTGATATTTCATCTCATGAGGCAACATTGAGTGACATAATATGTTTTTGTTTGTGGCGTCATGTGGGGTGGGATTTACAGCTTCATCCCCTTTTGGTTTTCTTCACTAAAAAGTTTCTTTTCTAACTAAAATCAAAACAAAACATTTCACAAAAATCTCAAGAGGTACAAAACATAACTATGTATTCCGATAAAGAGCGGAACTCCACGAACACCCAAACGAAACTCTTGAGGCATAATAACTCGAAGAGCGATCTGATTGGTCTGTGTGTCTACTACTACTATTTACTACGACTGTAGCTTCATCCAGTCAGGCGCTTCTTCCGTCTGGGAGAATGAAATGTCATTGGTTAGTCCCTTAGACACCGGTGCTTAAGTTTCCACAGACTGAATGTCACTGGGGTACTGACCTTGCTCAAAAACTCCCGACAAAGAAACAATAGGGCGGTCAAAAATTCGTGGCGGAACTTATTGTCAAATATCCACTTAACTATTGAACATAGATTCTCCAACTTTTGCATAATGACTTATATCAGACAGTTGGCGGATGGTGAACGGCGGTATAAAGGCGCAAATTGTGTTTGTATAAGTGGTTCTTTTTACACAAAGGCAAAGCCCTGCGGTACAACAAGAAAGGGGGGGGGGGGTAACGAGTATTGACTGTACAGTGGAGTCCGCTTAAAGTGAACTCTTTGGGACCAAAAGAAAGTGTTCACTTTATCTGAGGTTCAGTTTAACATAGGGTGGAGGCCTAGAAACAGTAGCTAGTTATGCGCAGTGGTGGGAGGTGGGGTAGGGGGACAACACAGCGGGCGAGCCTAGACAAGAGCTCTATCTTTCTTATTGCCGTCGCCAACGCCAAGCTGGGATTGTCTGCCGATGCCCGAGGCAAAGAATTTTATTTCTACGACATGGCGACAGTGACACGGTCGGTCAGTTCTTCGCTTTCACTCATTTTGGGCGTTCACTTTATCCGATTTCCAGATGAAATCGGTTAATTTTATCCACTATTATTTTACTTAAGCATATAGTGTTTCAATCAGGACCACAGAATATCGTTCACTTTAACCGATTGCTCAAATAAAGAGTGTTCACTTTAAGTGGGCTCCACTGTATTTGTGCATGTTTCGCTGTCTGTTCATCTTTTATAATCTTAGTGATCTCAATATTTGGTTACTGCAAGCGCTCTACAACCAACCAGACGTCACTGGTTATAGTGTCCATTTCAGTCTCACTTTTACATGTAATAGCTTAGGTATTTCCTAGATTTCACCCAAATGTCTCCTGCTTTGCCCCTCGAGATGTTGAGAATCATTTTATCGGGCCCTCGACTTGGACACATTTGTCCATGCATGGTGTAAAACATTCTCCACGTTCTTGGCTCTTGTTTCTTTCTGATTGTTGTTCATCGACAAGTCCTAGTTGGTGGTTGGCGAGTGCTCACCAAACATCTATAGTCTATACCTCTCCTCTTTCTTTTTTTGTGTTTGTTACTCTGTTGTAACACCTCTAATCTTTGGCACTTATGTGATCTTTTTGGGTTGTAAGTGTCGTAAAACTCTTCGTAAAACAACAACAACACCCCCCCCCCCAAGTCCTAGTTCAAGCGACTTTCTGCCCTCGCATAAACTAAACAGTGATAAGGGGCGTTCAACTATGATCTTAGGCCTGGAAAGTGGGGAGGGGGGGGGGTGTCTTTGGCTCCAGTAAGAAAAGTGTAAGAAAGGGTGGGGGGTGGGGTGGAGTCTTGAACCAATGTAATATTACGTTTGCTGCCCTTTGGCTACTTTTGTCCCTCCTTGGTCAAGAATGGCTGCATAGGCCAAAGAGTGAAGAAGTCAAAATAAAGGGATGTGGAAAATATTTTCAAAGAATAGCAACATTGAAGAGGCACAGGGCTTTACACAGGACGGAGGGAGAAATGGGGGTGGAGGAAGAAGAGAAAGAGCAGATTTGGAAGACAGCCCAGCAGATGCCCCTGATTTTTTACATAATGATGAACACTGCCTTTGTTGATGATAGCTAATTTCACTTTTTGTTTTAAGCACAATGATAATTTATAACAGATACAGTGGAATCTTGATAAAGTCAACTTGCTAGAACTAGAAGTCAACTCTTGCTTACAGTCAACACCTCACTGTGGTCCCGTTTCTTTAGGGCCTATTACAAGTACAGGCCGACCGGACAGGTTTTTGACTGTAGCAAGCCGTACGGCCAGACGAAATCGAGGAAACTTGGTTTATTAATACACGCTACAATTGAGCTGAAGGCAGCCACACCTTGCGAGCACAATATTCTACACACTATGCCTAGTCTTGGTGAAACTTCACACACGTGTGTGCACTATGGCTCGCAAAACATAAAAATGTGCTGGAATGGAAAATCTTTAATAAATACAAAACGAGACAAGCCACTCGCGAGCCATTTCCCTAATTTTGATACGCTGATTCTGAATCTGGTATTATTATATATATATAAATAAAATTTAAAAATCTACGATGTGATTTTTCTGTAATTTTGAAATTAGTTCAGTTGTCCCGGGCGAAACGAACTTCAACGGCTGAATTGCCGGACGTCAAATTCACAGGCAGCGGCAGTGGGTTCTTTACATCTGGCCGGCCGGCCATTCGCCCAGTCTTCGCCTACGGTTTGAGTCGCATTCTTATTACACGTTACGATTTGTCGTACGCCCCAGAAACCTGTCCGGTCGGCCTGTACGTGTAATAGGACCTTTACCTTCTTTGTTTAAGTATATGTGTTTCTGATACAGACAACCTCTTGGGTGTTAACCTTGCGTTAAGTCAACTATTTGGGGTTAAATTAAGAAGAGATATTTAGGGCCTGGGCTAGTGGTGTACACATCTCCAGTTACCTTGTTCACTCATTATCTCTTGTTTGGGTGACAACTTCAGAATTATACTCACTGAAATTGAGCTAACAACTTGTTACCAGGTACTTTCTAATTTTGTAGATGTCATCTTCAATTTTCAATGGCCAGTAGTACAATTGATAAAGTCAGCCTTGCTCAAAGTCAACCCTTTTTTCCGTCCCAGGTGTTGACATTATCAGAATTTCACTGTAATAATTTGTTTCATTTGTGATTAAGGCGCTTTTGACATTGACTTAAGTCTCAATTTTTTCCCGAATTAGTAGTAACAAAGAGTGTATGCAGTATTTTGCTTGAATAATTTACTCTGTTATTTTGTAGTGAACGTAGAACTGCTTAATATTATTATGTGCATGAATGCCTGTATGCATGTTTTTCATGGATATTATGTAAAGCGCATATAACCATGATTGTAACACGGATTTGCGCGATATAAATGTCATAGTATACAGGAACAATGTAATATTACGAAATGGGGGAGGGGGGGGGGGGGGGCAAATGTAAGAAAAGCGTTTAAAAAATGGGGGGGGGGGGGGGATCCCAAATAAGTGTAAGGTTATATTTGAACAGCCCTTAATCCTGTATCCAACGCCACTTATACAATGTATTACCGTCATGACACCACCCACACTAAGACAATAATAGACAACACAATATAAACAAAACACAACTGCGTGACTTAATTAGGTTTGAAGACTAACTGAGCTACAGAATGTCTTGATACAGGTAATGGGACGGAATCTCACAACGTCTGCTGATAATTTGAGTAAGATATTATTTTGTTTTGTTTTACTTCTGGCAGGCTGCTCCGGATGTTCATGTGAAGACAGGCACTATTTTGTTTGTACAACTTATGAAAATATCAAACATGTATAGTGTTTCTTGAAAATAATAATAAAATTGAGTATACCTTGTAGCTAGTCACACTGCATTCGACAAATATTTGTCACTCATTATGTATATACTTCTATTTCGTCTTTGCTTTTTCCTGAACAGCAATCAAGAGTCATACGAGGGAATCTATCGCAGCTGTTCACGTCGCGAGAATGTGTGTGGCCTTGAGACTGGTTTTTTACATCAGCCTAATTTCCCCATCGTCTTTGATTTTAGCCTCGACCTACAATGATTCTGCTCGTCTCTATGCGGACATTCTCCTACCGTTTGACAAAAGAATACAGCCAGTGAGAAACCAGTCAGAGCCCATCACAGTTTACTTCCAAATATTCCTTCTCAACATATTGAACATCGACGAAGTCACGCAGCGAGTCGACTTAAACGCGTGGATCAACTTTTCATGGGTGGATGAGCTTCGAACTTGGAACCCCAGTGACTATAATGGGATCTCGACCATCCACCCACTGCCCCTGGACACTTGGAGGCCTCGGACTCTCGTGACCAACTCAGTGGCCAAACGAGACTTGTTTGAGGATGACTACTCTCCGCTTTACATTTCGTCTGATGGTAGGTCAAAGTGGTTTCCCGGAACAATCTTTTCCATTTCCTGTAACCTTGACATTCGGTATTATCCCTTTGACAGTCAGACGTGCTCTATGTTTATAATGACCCAAGACTTCGATACAGATGTCAAACTTTATCCAGACCCTTCGACCGTGATGATCGGCAACTTTAAGCGGAACGGAGAGTGGGACCTAGTGAGCACCCGGGTCACAGCATCATTGCCAATGTTCACCGATGTGGCCTTCTCCAGCCTGAAGATAAACATAGTTCTAAAGCGTAAGCCTTTGTTTTTCGTGGTCAATATTTTGGTCCCGACGATGTTCATATCAGCTATCTCCTCTATCGTGTTTATTCTCCCGGAAGACAGCGGCGAGCGGGCGTCTTTTGCAATCACAGTGTTGTTGTCGTTGTCTGTGTTTTTGAGCACGGTGTCCAGCCAGCTCCCACAAAACTCGGAAAATTTCCCCATTATCATCAGTTACCTATTTTCTTTGCTAGTTCTCAACGGCACCACAGTCTTCGCCGCTGTCATACAACTGCAGTGTCGCCAAAAGAAAAAGGAGTCAACTCCAGACTCTGCCAGAAATGACTCACACCATGATGGCCCTGTGCTGTTTGCTAGACTCAAGGGACACTTTCAGGACGGCAGTGTATCACCGGCATGGGGGAGTGGAGAGCAACAATTGGCGGTCAATCCTGGTGAGGTCAATGTTGGCCAATCTTTTAAAAAACAGGACACTGAACATAGGAAGACTTCTCTCATTTCAGATGCCGATGTGGCCTTGACAAGGGAGACAATAACTGGTCACTTCAAACAGGCGAATCATTCTCATGGAAACTCAGTTGTGATGGCGTATCTTAAGGATTCCAATGTACTGCTCTTTGTCTTTATCAATACTACGTGGTTGATCTTAACAATTTATTTTTTAGTTGAGTTGATATACCACTGAAACTCAAACTTTTAACGAAGTCAACCACAGGAACCCCGATAGCTGTAAATGATTGTACATATTTTACGCCCCATTAACACAACTTTGATCGTTTAGAGGTGCGCTTCTTTGATTCTGTCTATCAGAACCAACTCGAGCTGAATGGGATAACGTATCCAAACAGATAGTGATAAAATACAGTCGAAATTTTTCGACACGACCACCCATTGTCGGTCGAGGAGAGAGGTCGTCTTAGACAGGTGGTTCTTTTGGATAGTGTCGCTATAATATATAAAACCAAAGAAAGAAGTGGGAAATGGTCATTTGTATAGTTGATAGTTTCGACAGGTGGTCGCGGGAGCAGGTTCAACTGAATTTTCCCCTCCCAGGAATCGCATTCATGTCTTTTGCTGGCACTGACCAAGAGTCTTTTCCGGAAGCCATTCTCTTATTCTTCAACGCTGCTCACTAACAAAAAAAACCAACAACCTCTAACAGGTGAAAGTGGTTGACCAACAGTATGTCATCCCGTAGTCGGTTAAATTGTTACGTTATGCTTTCCTGTCTAGTTCCATACCATTAAGTTGTGAGACGCCACCATTCTGGTTTTATGGGACAATAGGGACATGTTCTGAAGTATTTTTTGTTGTAAGCCTTTGGGAAGTACACTGGTACCCAATTAAATCGATAGTGCTCCAAAGTGACTACAAAGTTATGTTCATAGCATTCATGTGGCCCTCTATTCTTATCTATCAGCTATTTTCCGTGTCCAGATTGCACCCGTCTGCTCTCTGATGTCATCCGTCCTCCTTCTTTCTGTTCTTCCTCTTGACCTTTTGACTGTTTTTGGTCTCCATTTACCGCGTTTTTGTCCATCTGTTGTCTTTCACTCTGTCGATGTGACCAGCTCATTTTCATTCTGTGTCGGAGAACTCATTAAAATTTGGTATTTGCCACTCCTGTCCGAGACAAAGATACCCTGAACACCCCTCCTCCCCCGAAAAAAAAATCACAACTAAAAATATTTATATTTTAATCCTCAGTTTTTCATTGAAAAAAAAGAAGATATCCTATAAATCTACTAAGGAGTGTCATGCTAGTTATAGTTATTCAGACTGATACTGGAACTAGTAACAGCTAATCACAGATGTTACTGTAACCACAATGTTATCTGATTAGACCTGCATGGTCACAGAATGGATGAGATACCACGCAATAAAACTCGTTTGTGAAACCAAACCCCAGATGTGGACATTTTATTTGTTCGTATTTTTACGTCACCACCCCCCCCCCCCCATCCCCCCTTTTATGTGTTGTTTGTCAAGACTGATCCTGTTGCAACTTATATGTTTTTGTAAATGATAATAGAAATTAACAACAGCAACAGCAACAACAACAAAAACAACAACAAAAAACAAAACAAAACAACAACAACAACAACAACAATAATAATAATGATAATAATAATAATAATAATTATTATTATTATAATAAAAATAATAATAATAATAATAATAATAATAATAATAACAATAATATATAATAATAATAATAATAATAATAATAATAATAATAATAATGATGATGATGATGATCTACTACTACTACTACTACTACTACTACTACTACTACTACTACTACTACTACTACTACTACTACTACTACTACTACTACTACTACTATAACAACAACAACAACAACTACTACTACTACTACTACTACTACTACTACTACTACTACTACTACTACTACTACTACTACTACTACTACTACTACTACTACTACTACTACTACTACTACTACTGATGATGATGATGATGATGATGATGATGATGATGATGATGATGATGATGATGATGATGATGATGATGATGATGATGATGATGATGATGATGATGATGATGATGATGATGATGATGATGATGATGAGTTTGTCCGTCAATGTATGACGAGAATCAATGCATCTGCAGACGATAATATTTCTTTAAAAAAGGGGGGTGGGGGGGGGGGGCTACACCTGAAGGCTATCTCGCTTATTACTGGACCAAATTTTACCAAATTTCACACATATAACAAGCATAGTAAGGAGTCCTGAAATCCGCAATCAAATTTGAGAAAAAAGTTTCGTCTCCACGGATACGGCAGCCATTTTTAATTTTGTTGACACGTCTTACGTCTTGAATAACGCACTTATAATTGCACATGGAATTTTTTTTTCATGCGTGTTAACAAGCAATAAATCTAAAACTTTGTCGATTGTTTTTTTCCCTAAAAGAATTAGAAATTATTTTAAGAATTTTTTTCCTGAGATAGTACTCAAGTTTGAAAAAAAATCTGTGTAAATCCACACTCCAGAGACCACCACCAAAAATCTATTCCAATTCCATATATAAAAAATTCAACATACTAGTTTTTAGGAAAAATGGTGGAGTTATTAAAAAAAGTATAGGGAAACGTCGCTTTTCGAGAAAATGGCCGGTAAAAAAATAAAAATATTGACTTTATGAGGAAATGGTGGTGACAAACTGTCCCGGTATGGGAAAAATACGATTTATACGATGAAATAGTTGTAGGAGAGGCTGAGGAAGCTAAAAATGGCCACAACTCAAATTCCATAATTTTGAGCCGAATTGGGACTTTGGGGGTGTAGCCCGCCCCCCCTCCCCTTAAGTCAAATATAAGGAAAAAGTTTTCAAAAGTGCTTGATGCTACATCTATAATATTATAAAATGTTAAGTAGTTATACTAGAATGTTGTAATTTGGAACAGATATAATTCATTTCAAAAGGAATTTGTTTGACATAAAATTCACAAAGAAGAAACTTATTTTAAAAAATGGAAATGGCTTTTATAAAAACAGCCTATAAATGCAAAGTGCACCAGTTTAAAAGATCTTGTAAGGTAAGTCATGAAATTATTGGTTTGATTTTTCCTTTCCTTTTATTTTAAAAATCTAATCTTTCCGCCCCTGTAACCTTTAAACAGAATTTCTGTTCTCCTACAGGGTAAAAAACATTAGTTAAATTCTGTAATTCCGGGAACCAATTATCTATGTCCTTCTTTGGGCTCGGCGCATTTTAACGCGTTGTTCGCAATGTTCAGTGGTGGCCAAACACAAAGATTCACTAAAACCGTGAGTACTCAAAGCCACACACACTGTACACCTTACAGTATGGAGCTGTTTCAGGAAACAATAGGGAGGGTGAGGTTGCCTTAATCGACAGCATTTGTGGAGTTGATATAACCTGACAGGTGAACATGGGCTTTGCCAAGGAACCAAATGTCATAGAGGGCATGTTCACGCTTTTCAAGACAATTGAGGAATCATGAACACATTGCTGTCCTCTGATAGCTTCGCCAACTGGTAAAATCGTACAGTCGTAGATGAGGATCTGCCTTGAGAATCCGGACCGTCGAGATGTAGGAACGTCATTGCTGGACGTCTCTGTGATGTCAAGGGACATGATTCTTATCTTTACTGTGGGGACAAGATAATTAGGGGAGTGGCACACCCTTGGATGACGTCAAGAGCCCGGCGCGAAAAAGAGAGACATCGTCTGAGAGACTCACTGAGTTATTTAGTCGAACTCAGGACTACGACGAGGCAACACTTATCTTGGACGGGGACCCCCTGACAGACCCGACTCATCGGACCGCCAGGTAACTTTACATGGTGTCAGAAGTGGCTACTGAACAGCCAACTACTTCAAGAAAACACCCAAATTCAATGAAGTGCTAGAGTTTATCTATCAAGAACAGTGCTCTGTGAGAGTAGAGGTCTAGACTAGTTAGGTTTAGGCAGTTAAATGTTTGAAAACGGGAAGGATTTTGGATGTAATCTAGATCTGGATTCTGGAGCTAGAAACTAGAGATCTGGATAGAAGTAGATTATCTAGATGTGGTAATA